CATTTACAGAATTCACTACTCAAAACACCGGATAGACCACTTGGTACCTTTGTCATCTCATCTTACACGCAGAAACAGACTGTCTTCGACCTGGCACAATCTTCAACATCAGCTATTATTGCTGAGGGAAGTATAATAAAGCTAGAATCAATCAGTACTTCTAAAGAAGCAGATCGCAGTCCGTTGACACAAGATGAAAACCCAAGGAAAAAACCAAGCGTACAATCAACAAGTCCTTTGCAAAAATAATCAAGGTTGGAAATTATTTCTTGATAGGCCATATTTTTTTTAAGATTCTGTTGTCTGCTTTTAGGTTACTTAATGAACAATTACATTTACTGCTATCAATTTCTATCCATTAAAATGCTTATTTTATGTTAAAGTACACTTATGGATTTTTCTTATACGATAAAGCCTATGTTGCTCGCGCTATACTACAATTTCAGAATTTTCGAACAATTCAAAACAAAATCTAAATCCAATGTCTTTACAATTCTTGGTCCAAACTACGTATTCTCAACTACTCTTTTAAACTTAACTCTCAATTTGTTGTTCATACAGATGCCTCATCAGATTTGAAGCACAACAAAGGTCGCCTCAATGGTCTTTGACAGCTTGCATTTAAGGCAGATTTTGGTGGTGTTGTTATACTACTGTAACGATCCGACCGGTCGTTTTTAGAATTCACGCCTCGATTCCCTATTAACTGCTTCCCCTAAGTTTATTCTGCTATTTTTGTTTGCCGGGACATTCGGTGTGGGATTTTCGGAGAGTTTTGGGACACCTAGTCCTTAAATGAGAGCTTAAGTGTTGGAAAGTGGCCCGTAGTCAGAACAGTGTGAAGATGGCCTCGGAATGGAAATCCGACGGTTCCGTTAGCTCCGTTAGGTGATTTCGGGGTTGGGTGCGTGTTCGGAATGCATTTTGGAAGTCCGTAGCTCATTTAGGCTTGGAATGCCGAAGTTTGAATTTTTGAAGTTTCCTGTCCGATAGTGAGTTTTTGTTCCGAGGGTCGGAATGGAATTCCGGAAGTTACAGTAGCTCTGTCATGTCATTTGGGGCGTGTGTGCAAAATTTCAGGTTATTCGGACGTGTTTAGGTTAGGTTTTTGATCGAAAATGTATTTTGATGGAATTTGAAGTCCTTAGGCTCAAATCATTGATTAATTCGAGTTTGCGACGTCGTTTGAGGTGTTTTAAGGATTGGTACAAGTTTGAATGAGGTATTAGGTGCTATTGGTACTTTTGGTTGGGGTCCCTGGGGCCTCGGGATGATTTCGGGTGGTTAACGGAGGAATTTGAAGTTAATGCAGCAGCTGAATGTCCCTCTTCTGGTATTTTCGCATCTGCGGCGCCGCAGAAGCGTCTATTTGGCCGCAGAAGCGGCTTGTCCCCTTTTCCCTCAGAAGCCGCAGGAGCGGCTTAGGCATCGCAGAAGCGGAGCCACAGAAGCGGCCCAGCTATCGCAGATGCGGCCCTGTCCCCTTTAATGAAAGCCGCAGAAGCGGTTGCTTTTTCCGCATAAGCGGGACCGCAGAAGCGGTCCCTTGTCCGCATAAGCGGAAACACCTGTTCAGAAATATCAATTTCGAGGGTTTAATTTCATAAGTTTCAAAATCAATTGAGAGCTCGGGAGAGGGCGATTTTGAGTGGGTTTTGAAGAGAAGATTTATTGGGTAACGTTTCTTAATCCCTTCTAGTTATATTTCATTATTTTGTAGTTAAATCCATCATTTAAAATTCGAATTTGGGACTAAAATTGGAGGAATTGGGTTAGAACTTCTTAGGCCAAACTTTGGGATTTTGAGTGAGCATTTGACCTCCGATTTGGGAGATTTTTATATGGTTAGACTTGTGAGAATACGAGGGTTCTGAAAATGTAAAAATTATTTGATTCTGAGGCATTGGCCTGAAGGGCATTTTGGTCATTTCACCTAATTTCACGATGTAGCTTTGAATTAAATAGTAGAATCAGTTGCTTGAGATGTTATTTACAATGTGTGATTTAATTGAATAGATTTGGGCCATTTGGAGTCGAGTACTCGTGGCAAGTACGTGGTTGCTAGTTGATTTTAGCCGGTTTGAGGTAAGTATCTTGCCTAACCTTGTGTGGGGGACTTCCCCTTAGGAATTGAGTCTCCTTTGTTGATTGTATTCCTTGTACGCGAGGTGACGAGTGCGTGCTAGGATTTATTTGTGGAAAATTATCCCTTTTAGGCTCTTAGATCCTTGTAGTCACCGAATATAAAGTTGTTCTTGATACGATTGAGTTCCCTGTTATTAGCTTCACCTTTACATGTCTTACTTGGAATTTATTTGCCCCTTTTTGGCTTATTCTTGTTTCACTGTAGACATTACCCTTCTATAGTCACATTATCATTCCTAACTGCTTGTCTTTATTTGGAAAGCATTATTTCTATCTCTCGTGTAATTAATTGGTCTTAATTGGAAAGAAGTTAGATATCCTATATTCAGTTGATACTTCCTTAATTGTAATTATTTGATTCATGTTAACTTCCTTGTTGTTGAACTTAGTATTATGGAATCGTTGTTTCATATTATTTCTCCCTTGTTGAGTTGTTCTTATTGCGCTTAGTATTTCTCTGTTACGGTTATTCCTTGTGAGTTAGTTGTACCGTCTTTTGGTGAACGGAAATACCTGAGTTGATTCTCTTGCCTTGTTCCTGTATATATTGTCGTTTGTTGTGTTGTACTTGAGATTGTGACGCACGAGGTTTCTGCCGTGCGGTTGTTGATACTGTGATGCACGAGGTTTCTGCCGTGCGATTGTGAATATTGTGATGCACGAGGTCTTTGCCGTGCTGTTGTTGTTATTGATGTTTTGCACATGCGGCGTAATAAGGCGGGATATGTTATATGCTTATATGTGGGTTGCGCATGTGGCGGAATAAGGAGGGAACATTGTGATGCACGTGTGGCGAAATAAGGCGGTACCTATTATCTTATTATTTGCACACGTGGCGAAATAAGGTGGGCTATGTCAGGGGATGATTCTAGGGAATTGTGACGGCCTGTGGAGGCATTCCTATTTGTTTAATAATGTGATTGTGGGTTGCTTACCGGTATGAGCTTTATCGCTTGGAAGTTGTGAGGAAACATCGCACGTGCGGTCCGTTCTCCTTTTCATGTCTACTAGCTGGTAGAATTTTGTTAGAAACATTTGCACAAGCATACACGTAGCTGAACACCCCTATTAGAGGTGAATTCCTCCTGATTTTGCTAAGGGTGGAGGTACGCCCTCGTTTATCCGTTATATTTGTGAGAGTGGCCCTAGTTAGCCAGTTAGTTGTCGGTATGACCATGAGATTGATGGGGCATAGGATGCCAATTGTTAGATTTCAGATGCTGGGCCTTCGCGAGTTGTGGTTTGTCCGAGACTTGGTGAAATTGTGGAAAGAGTTGGATAAGACCTTTGTGAACATCATTGTAGGATATGAGTTATTGACTTGTTTTCCCATTGCTGTGTTGTGACCTTAGGATTTGGATTGTGATTCTGCCGTCATTTCCTATCCTCATTTATTATATTCTCGTTGTTACTTGTTGTATTTTTCCCTTATTGTGAATTGTAGCAGTCTTGGTCATTCATGCAGTCTTTACATATTTATATGTCATTTCCATTATTCCTATGATTATACTGTTTATTGACCGGTAGGTGCCTTGACTGTTCCTCGTCACTACTCCACCGAGGTTAGTCTTGATACTTACTGGGCACCGCCGTGGTGTGCTCATGCTACTCTTCTGCACATTTTTGTTGTGCAGATACAGGTACTCCCACTCAGTTCTGTCAGCCTTGGAAGGAGGCGTATCGGTAGAGACTTCGAGGTATATCTGCTACTTCCGCAGACCGAGGAGTCCCTTTCCAGCTTTCTGTAATAAGTATAGCTATTTCAGTATTTCTCCTTTGTATAGATATTCTTGAGTCAGAGCCTCTTATGTATCCCTTAGCTTGTGATTTGTGAGTTTTCGGATTTTGGGAATTGTTTTAGACTTGTGGTATTGAGTTGTACTTGCCATGCGGCATTCAGTACAGTTTCCTTTAGATATTTGATTTGATTTTTCTCTTTTTTTCCGCAATTATTATATTTCCGCAAATGTTAGGCTTACCTGGTCATGGGAACCAGGTGCCGTCATGACATGTTCACGGTTGGTGAACTAGGGTCGTGACAACTACAGTACAATCTTCCACATTTTTTGTAAATAAGTACGTAGATATTCGTGAATTGTTTACTGCAGTACAATGTTTCACATTTTGTATAAATAGCTAGACAAACGGACTCTTATCAAGGCAGATTTTGGTAAGTATAATCTTCCGCATTTTGTGTAAACAACTACGCAGATTTTCATGAATTGTTTACTGTTAGCTATGCAAACTAACTCTTTGAATAATCTGGTAAATCCAAGTAGCTCCCATTATATATACATGTATGTTTTCATCATACCTCCAAAACTTCAAAGCGTTTCACTGTAGTTCTAATCCAATAGCCAAATTACAACTGCATACCTATACAAAATAATATACAAGCTTAGCTTAGTGCTAACAAATTACTCTCAAAAAGACAAATTTACTATCAAGATCTAAAATGAAAACCCATCCACACAATATTACCCTTACTCCCTTACGTTAAGATTGTTCATCTTGGGCCCGGGCAAAGCCCGGGCTAACCCTACTAGTTTTTTACTATATAGAAGAGCCCTAAAGCAAGCAGGAGACCGTCGACATCGCTGCTTGCTGACACAGGGGCATTTAGGTAATTTCTCTTACTTCTCAAATTACCGTAGGACACGTAGCTAAATTTTTTTAGTAGGACAGCTGGGAGATAACGACGCATAACAGAATAAACAAGCGGTGACCACCGGGTTTTATTCTGCTCATCACCTTTCTCTTTCTCTGTTGTACTTCTCTATTTTCTCCAACAGTTCTCAGTTTCTCTCCTGCAAATATTAATACTTCTGGTGAGCTTTTCTCTATTATTGTACTGCTCTTTTTTATTTGCTTTGCTTCCTGTTTTATTGAGAATTCGTGAATAAAAAATATAGTTCTGTTGGTTTTCAAATAAAGTACTGATTAAAAATATGCGAATAAAAAATTATTGTTCTGTTGGTTCTGGAATAAAGCACTGAAAGCTCTTTCTTTGGGTTCGTTGATGTATTATGGTTAAAATTTTAATTACATCTTCTACAGATTGAGCTGCCACACTTCTAACAAAATTCGTATGATCGCTAAAATTGCAAAAGTGCATGGGATAGATTTCCAATGAAAATCTTTATTTTGTTTTCCTAACTTTGGGTATCGAGGCATTGAAAGGTAAAACTTTGGGTATCGAGGCAACGGAAGGCAAGCACCGCAATAGGATACGATTCTTCTCAAACGGCTATGGGTGTCTTTGTTTGTGCCTGAGTAAGTAATTTATCGACGCCCACAATGTGTTTGTTTTATTTAGTTAATGACTTCTTAAGTCTATTAGTAGTGGAGATTTATGTGATGGTTGTGATATTGTCTTGCACAATCATAGCATCATCATTATAGATCTTTTTAGAAAAAAAATTCTCTTTATTGTCTGGTTTGGAGCTCTTGTGTTATTTTTCCCCCTATTGTCCTCTCTGTACTGTACAATTTTGCTGCCTCAACAATAGATAGTTTCATGTTGCAGTATTCTTGGGGATCATATGCTCATTATTCAGGTCTTACTAGTGATTACTATAGTTATTCACTAAAAAATATTCAGGTCTTATTGGTGATTGCTAGAAATATTCACTTGAAAAGGAATATTCACTAGAAATATGTAAAATATAACATAAGGTAGCGCACATCTATGGTAGGCACCATGCGTGAATTAGGTCCTTGAACTATACTGCTTTTGGAAGATCTACTTTTAAATTTTCTCTTTATACTTGCAGGATAGCGAAATGTATCGTGGAAAGCAATTGTATCAAAATGAGGAACGCTATGCTGCCTTAACTCATATGGTATAGAAAGAACTTTGCATAATTTACTGCTGCGGTGACGCAGTTTCTATTGTTGTACTATTTGTTAGGTGGTCTGATTAATGTCCTTGGAGGCAGTTCCTCTTATTGTGCTATTTGTTAGGTGGCCTTTTTTATGTCCTTGGAGATAAAGCAAGACAATGGGTTTTAAAAAAAAAGACCCGTCTATGGAGGAAAAGAGAAATAGAGAATCTTCCTTCTCTGATTCTTATGGATTTAACAGAAAAAGCTGTTGAAGGAACCGAAAGTTGTAGTATGGCTTAAGCTAGAGTTATTATGTACTCCATGTGCACCTCTGAGCTTTAAAATGTCTTAAAGTGCAAACAGTTAGGCACTGCTTAGGGACCTCATTTTGCTTAGACGGTTATATGCGCTTTCATACATATATAATGTACTGTAAATTGAGCAGGTAAATCGTTAAGAGCCATTTTTTCTCGTTTCATAACGTTCACTGTTCTCTACTGCCAAATGTGCCTAAACTAGACTTATAGTAATTGCATGTCTTGCAGTGTTGTCTTCTACTATTTTTTTTACTTTTTCTTATTCCCCTTCCCTCTAGCAGTTGTCTCTTCTTTGATGTTAGTAATACCATGATTATCTCATCATAGCAAGGAAGTTTTGTCCAGTACTTCTGAGTTCTGAAATCTAAATGAGCAGAGCTATTGCTTTAAATCTGGTGCTTTTCTCTGAGAGACATATTTATCTTTATTCCATACCTCTAGTTATAGCAGCTTGCTAATTTATTTGAACCAACTATTTAGGTGGCTTCTCATGGACTGGATCGTAGTTCAAAGGTGCTTCGTCAGCCGAATATTGGCACTTTTTTCATGCTTTAGTTTGACTGTTTCGTAAGGTCTGGTAAAGGTCATTTCATGATCGCCATATTCGGTATATTTGTCTTTACTTACTGATAGGTAGTTTATCTTTATTCTTATCTTGACTCTTGCAGGTTAACTAGGTCCCAGGAATTAGTCAAAGATGGTAAAAAGTTATCAGCTGTCTGGTTCTGAGTTTTGACTCAGACACAACATGTCCAATGTTCTGCGGTCTGCTACTGTCTAATATACAGATTATCGAGGTTAGTCTATAATTTTGACGTTTTCCTATTCTGAGAAACGTTCGCTTCAGACGTAATGCAATCCGTGAATAGATCAGTTTCATTTGCTTGTCTTGGAAGCAAGGTTCTCCAGACAGTTCCTTTTTGTGATTATTCGTGATTAATGGTACTTATATTCCTTTTTTTGGTACAAAGTTAAATTATTTTTCCTGATATTTGAGTTAACACTGTTAATGAAGTGCCTGAGCTAAAAAACTTAAAGCCATGTTAATGAAGTGGCTGAGATTTTAAAAAATGGTTTCCAACAAATGAACTCCAGACTTGGCACCAAAATTCTAGGCGGAGGCTCAAAATTGGTCAATGAGATTTTACAATAAACAATGCAATCTTGGGCAAGGACAGGCACTCTATTGGGATTTTCTGCATAGTAGGGCATTCTAGGAGCCTCGTGGAAAAATCAGAGGTCTTAGACCAACTTGATTCTAAATACAGGGATATTGGCATCCTTGTCTGTGACTGTTAGGTCCAAGTTTTACATGATTTTAGCGAGTACTGGTTTCAGATAGTGTTTGCCGGAAGTCTTCTTATTTTGGTTTAGTTTGGTTAGAGTTTGTATGTCAATTTAAGGATAAGAATGAGATATAGAGAACATTTCATTTTAGAGGACCCCTTTTTATCTTAAGAGAGAAATTATTGGGTATTGGGATGAAATGGGCCAAATAGAGGATGGTTTCCTTTTGAGGTTTCATATGAGGACCAAAAGATATGATTAAAAATCTATACAAATAGCTTTATTCCTGGTTTAATTTTACTAATCCACGTGGATTTTTTTTGGGTTTGGGGTGGGGTGGGGGGTGAGGGTTATTAGATCTTTAAATTTGCAGTTCTCTTGGAAATCTTTAGCCATCCAAAACTCTAGTGTATGAATTAACCTGTGAATTCTGATTAAAATGACTGGACTACTGTCACGACCCAATTTCCAAACCCGGTCGTGATGGCGCCTCTCGTGAAGACAAGGCCAGCCAACAGAACACCAATAACTCTTTAATAATTACTTAGCACGAATAAGTCTAAAACATTAATAAAATTATCATAAGTGCGGAAGAAGATTGATAAAACAGAGAATCATCCCGACTCAGCCCGACCGGGGTGTCACAAGTCACGAGCATCTAGAGGAGTCTAAACACAACTACAAGGCCAGTACTATACAAAATAGAATTTAGAATTCAAGGAAGAAATCTGGTGTCGCGAACGCTGGCGATCACCTTGCTCAGCTATGATGGCAAAATCTTCAACCAGCTCATAACCCGCTACCGGGTGAACAAATACCTGCATCTGCACGCGAGGTGCAGGGAGTAAAGTGAGCACTCCAATTCAGTGAGTAATAAAAGTAAATAATAACTGAGCAGCAAGAAATCACGTAAAACATCCAACATGCTGTATAGAAGCCGGGTACAATTTTCTGAGAAAAACAGTGAAATCGGTGATATCTTTAGAAATACCTTGGTTCAGTTCAAATCTCTTTTGAAAATAGTCTTTTCAATAATCACGAAAACGCTTTCAAAACAGTTAGTGCTAATAAGCACGGAAAAGTCCGCCCTCGGGCACAAATACCTCAGTATAACAGGTAAAAAGGGCAAATAAATATGCAAGATGAGCACATAAAAGTATGCCCCTCGGGCACATCTCAAAAGAGTACCAGTCCCTTGGGCTCAATATCAATCGCTCAGAACAGTATCAGCCCCTCGGGCACAGTATCACATCACTCAGAACGGTATCAGCCCCTCGGACTCAGTATCAGTCACACAGTACAACATTAGCCCCTCGGGCTCACTCTCAAATCACATGGGTACCCGCGCTCACTGTGGGGGTGCAGACTCCGGAGGGGCTCCTACAGCCCAAGCGCTATATTATCACAAGGCCTGAAAGCCTGTACATATCAACATGAGGCCTGAAAGCCTTCTCACAATACACTCGAGGCCTGGAAGCCTCCTCACATATCGCTCGAGGCCTGAAAGCCTCCTCATATATCACTCGAGTCCTGAAAGCCTCCTCACATATCACTCGAGGCCTGAAAGCCTCCTTACATACCACTCGACATATCCTCACATATGGCCCTCGGCCTCAATCAGTCCAAAAATAATCATAAGCCCCTCGGGCATCAGTAAAACAATAATGCTCAGCTCAAACAATAGTTCAATATCAGTTAAAAACTCAAGGTTGAGTAAAAATATAACTGAGTTCATGAAACAGTATAATTCAAATGGACTGAGTTCAAACAATATTTCAAATGGTGAGGAAAGTGTTACAACCCATATTCACATACGTTAGTTCATGCCATCAGGTCGTCGACGTAAATCCATGAAGAGATTATCTTTAAGATGATAAGAGGTTAATCCTATTGGTCTTAAATGATACAAAGGTGTATAAGGGTGATTAACAAGTATTAGAAGTTAAACGAATCAAGGATGTTATCAGCCGTATTTTTGGGTAAACCTAGGGGTGCTTAATACTCTCAATAGGTCTTATTTTAAGGTATATGAATCATAAAATATCCGTATCATAGTCTTGAAGTCAAACGAGTTATGAAACAAAAGTCGACAAGAGTTGTTGCAACTTAAGTTCATAGTTTTACTTAAACTTTAGGTCAAATGTTATTAAGCTTTTCTCCCAATATACTTGGAATTACGGGGTGATCTACCCACCAAATTGAAAATCTATGAGTCTAGTTTCCAACGCATTAAACCTTTTATCAATACGACATTGGAGTAGAGAGATATAGACATTTTTGCGAGACTGCACAAGCTGCTAGGCGACAAGTAGGTGGGTCACCTACTTGGTTAAATGATAGCCCAAAAAGAGGCAATTTCGGGTCAGACAAAGAGCCCATTAAAAGGCTTATCTTCTGCAATATATCCCTCATTATATTTCACAAATAACCAGACCTAAACCCCTGCAAACTTCCTCCCAAAAAGTATCCACAAACCCTAATTGATTTTCCCTCTCTTTCAAGTTCAAATTGGGGGTAAACCCTAGAGTTTGAAGAACCAAGATAGGGGCTGAGTTATCCAAGAAGTAAGGTGAGTTTACTGCTATCTTTCATACATTTATTCTGCTGTGAATTCATGGTAATTCGTTCTATATATGTAAGAACTCACGGGACGGTGATCGGAAGCCGTGAGTTCGAGTTATTCACATGTAGAGGACTGTTTTGTGGACTGTTTTGTGTTGCTGTTGGGCTGCGTGTTTTACTACTGTTTTGTAAAGTTTTGGAGGAGGAAGGGTGTGGAGAAACACCATATAGATGTAGGGTTGTGGGCTGGTAGTTCTTCGTAACATTTCCGGGTCGTTTGACACGACTACGGTGGCCGTCGTATGTATGAAGTGATTAGGTTGTGCGTGGACTGTTTTGGGAGGCTCAATATGATTATTATTTATGTTGTTTGAGCCTTTGGGTTGTTTGGAATTGTGTGAAATCATATATATAGGGGAGGTGCTGTCCGTTTCATCGTAAAATAGGTTGTGGTCGATACATAATAGTTATGACGCTTGAATGATAACTATAGTATCGTTTCTCTTATTGTAGACTAAGGAGTCGTGAAAATTGCATAGCTTGAGATTGGGGCAGTATATATAAGGTATGTGAGGCTATCCCTTTCCTTCTTTTGCACGACTCCAATTGAACATAATGTAATGAACGAGCTTCCAAAGATACTCTACTCTTAGAAGCTAGCAGTACTTACATTGTTTCCCCTCTTATGGAACGATTGATGTTGATGTTGCTTCTCTTATTATTATGTTATCAATGTTATTGGTACTTCCAGATTCTTATAAGGTTCATGGTGAAGAGTTATTCCTAATAACGTGTACAGAGGATACCGACCTTACGTCACTTCGTAAGGTTTAGAACGTGAGTCCATGAGTCGCATGCATTATATATATGTATCTATTTTACGCTACCGAGCCGCGCTATAGTCAGCGGGTACGGCACCTATTGTGCAACCACTGATTAGTTGGGTTTTACCGAGCTCCACGTGGCCGGGTACGATTCTACCGAGCCTTATGATGGCTGGATACGTTTTTACTGAGCCTATTACGGCCGGGTACGATATTATGATGATGATGCCCACAGAGGCATATGTTTTAAAGGTTTATGTATATATACATATGTATCACGCATTTCATGTCAGTATCCCTCAGAGGTACCCAGATGTTACAGGTTGTATATTCTCTATCCCTGCTTACATTAGTGTTCGTACTTATGGTTCCCTGCCTTATATACTCAGTACTTTATTCGTACTGACGTCCTTTTATTTGTGGACGTTGCATGTCGTGTTGTAGGTCCAGATAGACAGGCAGGCGCAGCTCCCCCACCATAGTAGGTTGTCCAGTTCAGCGGTGATTGGCGAGATCCCTTCTTCGGACTTGCCGTGGTCTTGGTATGCATTTTTGTTATAGACATTATGGGTATGTCGGGGCCCTGTTCCGGCAATGTTGCAGCACTTATGTTCCTTTAGAGGCTCATAGACAGGTGTCGACTCATGTATAGTTTGGTATGCCTTGTCGGCTGGTTTTTGTTGTATAGTCTTTCATGGTAACATGGTAGCTCGTACCTTATATATAGTTTCTTCATTGTCTGGTCATCCCATGTTATGTATGTTCATGCCATCATCTTTTATTGTTGGTTGTCCATGATCCATGTCTACCATTTATATTGATCTTGTCGGCCCTAAAAGATAATAAAGAAGGTTAGATAAAATGTACGTTGGTGCTCGGCAAGTATGGTCAGGTGCTAGTCATGGCCCTCCAGTTTGGGTCGTGACAAACTTGGTATCAGAGAAAGTCTGTCCTAAGGATTGTCTATGAGCCGTGTCTAGTAGAGTCTTGATTATGGATGTGTAGCGCGCCACATTTATAATCAGGAGGCTACATGACATCTAGGGTTGTTAACTTCTTCTTCCTGAATCTAGATCGTGCGTAGAGTTGAGTCATAAGTGTTTGTCTCTAATATTCACTTTGTTTTCTTTCAGCGATGCCTTCGACTAGGAAGCAAACAATTAGTAGACGGCTTTATGCAGCTGCGAGAGAGGGTACCAGTCAGGTGCCCCAAGCCAGAGCAGGCAAAAGTGAGGCTCAAAGTGAGATGCCGTCTCATACCTCATCTACTCCGTCTCCTCCAGAGGATATTAGGAGGCGCCCAGCACCACCAGTTCCGCTGTTTGGCACTATAGACCAGGATATGCGGAATGCGGTACAGTTGTTGACTAACTTGGTAGCTGCTCAGGCTCAAAGGCGGAATACCGGTGTTGTTAATAAACCGGTTTGTACGAGAGTTCGTGATTTTATTAATCTAGACCCTCCAGTGTTTACCGGATCAGGGAGGACCCGCAGACTTTTATTTATCAGGTTCATCGTACACTGTGGGTTATGCATGCTAGTGATACAGAGGTAGTAGAGTTGGCTTCTTATCGGCTACGGGATTTAGCGGTTTTCTGGTATGATAGTTGGGAGAGATCCAGGGGTCCAAACGCTCCTCCAGCTGTGTGGAAGGAATTTTCTGAGGCCTTTCTTCGTCACTACTTGCTAGTTGAGATACGACGAGCTAGAGCTGATAAGTTCTTGAACCTTAGACAAGGTAATATGAGTGTGCGAGAGTACAGTATGCAGTTTGATTCTTTAGCAAGGTATGCTCCCCATATGGTAGCAGAGATGAGCAATGGGGTGCATCTGTTCGTGAACGGGTTGGGACCACATCTGATAAATGAGTGCACGGCAGCCTCCTTGGTGGAGGGCATGGATATTTCCTGTATTCAGGCTTATGCCCAAACCCTAGAGGATCGTAAGCGCCAACAAAGGGCAGATAGGGAGCAGGATAGGGGCCAGCATAAGAGGGCGAGATTTGCAAGGTATCCTGATGACTTCAGAGGCAATGTCAGGCCCCAGTCTTCGAGGAGTTCGGCGCCATCTATAGCTAGTGCTCCTCCACAATTCCAAAGGCCTCAATATGATCGATTTACCTATTCAGGTCCAGGTCAGAGTTCGCGGGCATCAGGCTCGCAATATCACAGAGATACTAATCAGACGAGACCCCCAACACCACGTTGTGATCAGTGCGGTAAGGCCCACTTTGGACTGTGCCATCGAGGTTCTGATGCGAGCTATTCTTGCGGACAACCTAGCCATATGATATGGGATTGTCCTAACAGAGGAGGTGGTGGTATGGCTCAACCAACTGGATCCGTGTCTGGTTCTTCCTCATCAGTTCGACCTCCAGCACAGGGTTTTCAGCAGTCGACAGGTCGAGGTAGAGGTAGAGGTGCAGTGCAGAGTTCGAGTGGTGCTCAAAATCGAACCTATGCTCTAATAGGTCGACAGGATCTCGAGTCATCTCCAGATGTTGTTACAGGTATATTGTCTGTGTTTTCTTATGATATATATGCGTTGATTGATCCGGGATACACGTTATCATATGTTACACCTTTTGTGGCTAATAAGTTTGGCGTTGAACCTGAATTTATAAGTAAACCACTTGCGGTATCTACTCCGATAAGAGATTCTATGATTGCTAGGAGGGTATATAGAGGTTGCACAGTGATGATTTGTAGTCATCAAACCTTGGCAAATTTATTTGAGTTAGAAATGGTTGACTTCGATGAGATAATGGGTATGGACTGGTTGGCCTCATGCTATGCAAATGTTGACTATCGTACGAAGATGGTTAGGTTTCAGTTTCCTGGTGAAACCATCATTAAATGGAAGGGGAACATTGCTATGCCGAAAGGTAGGTTTATTTCCTATCTTAAGGCAAGGAAGATGATCTCAAAAGGTTACATTTATCATCTCGTTCGCGTTAGGGATTCGGAGGCGAAGCCGCCTACTCTACAATCAATCCCCGTGGTCAATGAATTTCCAGATGTTTTCCCAGATGAACTCCCAGGCCTTCCTCCTGAAAGGGAGATTGAGTTTAGCATTGATGTGTTGCCTGACACTCAACCGATCTCTATCCCTCCATACAGAATGGCCCCGGCAGAGTTGCGAGAGTTGAAGGTGCAGTTGAAGGACTTGCTGGATAAGGGCTTCATTAGGCCTAGCACTTCACCTTGGGGTGCGCCAGTCCTGTTCGTGCGGAAGAAAGACGGGTCGTTATGGATGTGTATCGACTATCGACAGTTGAATAAGTTTATTGTAAAGAACAAGTATCCACTTCCAAGGATTGACGACCTGTTTGACCAACTCCAGGGTGCCAAGTATTTCTCCAAGATTGACTTACGTTCAGGGTATCATCAGGTGAGGGTCAAGGAGAAGGATATTCCAAAGACGGCCTTCCGGACAAGATATGGGCACTTTGAGTTCTTGGTGATGTCGTTCAGGCTAACAAATGCCTCATCAGCTTTTATGGATCTCATGAATACTGTATTCAGGCCCTATCTTGATGTGTTCGTGATCGTATTCATTGATGACATTCTAGTGTATTCTCGTTCGGAGGCGGAACATGCGGGCCACTTGCGGATAGTATTACAGACGCTTCAGGATCGTAAGTTATATGCTATGCTCTCCAAATGTGAATTCTGGCTTAACTCAGTAGCATTCCTTGGCCATGTGATATCTGACGAGGGTATTAGTGTCGACACTCAAAAGATCGATGCAGTAAAGAATTGGCCGAGACCTACAACACCATCAGAAGTCCGCAGCTTCTTGGGGCTAGCAGGATATTATAGGCGATTTGTAGAAGGGTTTTACTCTATATCGGCACCATTGACTAAGTTAACACAGAAAGCTACTAAGTTCCAGTGGTCTGACACTTGTGAACGTAGTTTTCAGTAGCTAAAGAATCGATTGACATCTGCACCAGTGCTCACTCTCCCTGAAGGAACAGAAGGTTATGTGGTATATTGTGATGCCTCAGGTATAGGTTTGGGGTGCGTATTGATGCAGCGTGGGAAGGTGATTGCTTATGCATCAAGACATTTGAAGAAGCATGAAA